ATATATTAACAGCAATAAGTGTCCTTTCTTAATTTTAGACATTTCAGTTCTTTCCCTATTGTTAATTTTCCTTTTTTTGGACGGTGATGTTCCTCTGGCACCATCTTACGGTGTTTATATATCCCCACTCGTTCGTTATGCCCGTGTCTGTAGTGACGTTTTGGATTTCAATGAGCGTAATCTATGTATTACTGGCAAATTATTAGGTCAGGGATTTTGTTATCACAAATTACTTAAAACCTTTACTAAATTCTTCCATAGATAAAAAGATTTAGTTTGCAAGTTTGGCTGTACCTGTAAAAAACTTATTTCAGACGGAATAGCACATTCTAAATTTTACGGTGATGTTGTTAACCGAGCCCGGAAATTTATATACGATCCGGATAAATCATCAATCCTTTAAATAAACTTATAAACTTATTCTAAAAAGTTACAAATTCAACACTGTAATTAGATCTTTGAATATTGTGTTTATTGGTATAAATATTGATTTTGTTATCAGAAAATTAAAATCATACTAAATAGTTTTGTTATCAAATATGCACTTTAACGGTACTACAATCTGTCGATACCTATATTTAAGCATTGCACAGGATCATGGTTTTCTCTGACTGTTAATGAAGTCTTTACACTAAATCCATTGGATGTTAGATGTGTAATGATTGATATTTTAGTCTTAGGTACATGATTTTTTTTATTAGTTGTTATTGGCTTTGAACTAGCTTTCAGTAACTGCGAGTACTCTCAGATCTGTACTTAGTGTCCTTTTGGTTGTTAGGGATGAGGGATGGATAAATACCCTGCCACGTCCGGTCTGTGTTTGATGTTTTTCTGCTTTGTATCGATCTAATGAGTTTTGCCTTTTTCAACTGATTTTTATAGTTTATTCTTATGTTGTGCTGTTACACCACTATCCCAGGTTAGGGGGAGGGTAAGGCGCTCACAAACATGTTTAATCCCGCCACATTCTTTATGTGCCTGTCCCAAGTCAGGAACCTGTAGTTCAGTGGTTGTCGTTGGTTTATGTTTGTCATTTTTGTTTTTCGTAAATTGTTTTGTTATAAATTAGGCCGATAGTTTTTCAATTTAATTGTTTAATATTTTTCATGTCGGGGCCTTTTATAGCCGACTATACGGTATGGGGTTTTCTCATTGTTGAAGGCCGTACGGTTGCCTATAATTGCTTACATCCACTTTATTTGAACTTTGGTTTTAGTTGTCTCATTGGCAATCATACCTCATCTCCTTATTTTTATATTAACCCGTTTTGTTTAACTACATATCTTTACAAAGGGATACAAGAAGGTTGCCATGTAGGTTTTTCCTTTATCCAAATGACGTCTTTCCAAAGTAATATCAGGGGGTTAAGTTACAGAGACAGGACAGTCATTAAAATGTTCATCGCCATCAACATTTTGGATGTAATCTTGTAGTCCTCGTGTTCGGGCATTAAAGTCACCATAGATCAGAATTTAACCCTTATAGCTCAATTCAAGAACTTTATTTCGAAGCTGTGCAAATATCAATTCTGAATCTACTTTATTCATATATGTTTTTATATAACAAAGACACAAATAAAATGTGTATGAGAGTTCAATGATTTGTTTATTCAACTTTAACCAAATTGAAAATTTTGACCTTTCTGTCTCTTTTACTCCCTTTCTAATACATGTATGTGGATTGCAGTATAACTATTAAAATGGTCTCCTTCTTCTTTTGCGTTTAAAAGGTTTTACAATGCCGAAAGGTGATGAATAATCTGGAAGATTCCCAGACGAATCCGATACTAAAGTTTCTACAAAACCAACCGTATGTCAAAACTATTTACATAAGAAAAAAAATCAACATCTTCAATCTTGTGACTATTTAAGCAATGAGTATTCCAAAAGCCTATATCATACCTGTCAATGTTTCAAAATATCCATGGGGGATTTTATGCGCAAGAGGACGTAATGCCCCTCTAATATTGTCAGAAATGTTTTAATCTACTACTGTATTGATTGAATAAGTGTGTATTTGCCTAAATACACTTTTAGCTCATTTGAATGCCTATTTTGAGGTGTCTAGTTTATATAATAAAGAATTTCAAAATTCAGGTTAAAACTTCTCATGGGGAAAATTCCCCATGAATAGTGAAAGTTGGCAGGTCTGCTATATATATTAAGCTTATTCAAACTGATAAAAAAAATATATGTGAGAGTTACAGAGGTTCCATATGTTTTTTCATCGGGACCTCAGTGGTCTTTTGGTCCAGTTATTGTTCAAGCATTACTGGTCCAGTCAGTGTTTTAGCAGTCCGAAGTTTTAAATTATGAGTATTACACAATTCTTACTTCTACAATGGTCATTTGGTCCAGCAATTGATGACATATTATTGGACCAAACCATTTATTACTGGACATTGCCACATGTTTGACAGACCTTGGGAATGACTGAAGTAAAGGGACCGCATTATATTTATAAGTTTCATTTATTGTTTAATATAAATGTCACGGCTTCATAAAGTAAAATAAGTATTGAAACCATCGAGAGTACAAATAACAAAGTATCTTTCTTTAAGAATAAGAATAAGAATAAGAATTTTATTAGTCTAAAATCCAAACATTAGGATTCAGGGGCGTAGCTAGGGCAATATGATGTGTACTCAATGCCGGAGGAGAAAGTCAAACGGCAGGGGTCTGGGGCCTGTTAAGACCCCCAGAAGCTCTGGGGGTAAATGGTGCAAAATCCTGCATTCTCGCAATTTCCTGGGACTTAAAATGACCTTACGAAAATCTTATTTTCATGAGAAACAAGTCAACTTTGAAAAAAAAATTTAAAAATATTAATTAGAGAAAAACAAACCGTTGAAAGTACTGTTGGCTTAGGAATTTGGATTTTCTAATGTGCAGTGGGTTGAGCTTGATTAAATTAACTTAAAAATAATATTCGTTACTAGTTAGTTAAGAGAGTCTAGGTTAAAATGGTGGTAAAGGGTGGTATTTGCACGGAAAAAACGTTGAATACAAAGAAGGAATAACAACTTCACGGTGAACGTGAAATAATTTCGTCAATGAACGTGATAAAAAAGTACTATAACGAACGCATATCATAGGTTGGAAACCTTAAGTGGCAAGTATATAATATATACGCTTGAAGTCCCGAAATCTATAAGGAAAATCATCAAATTATTTCTGATTTCTTTTTATTAACTTACAAAACGACAGTTTTTTAATATTACCAAGCACGGAAAGGAAGCACTTTAAATCTCGAAGCATGGAAATAAGCACTTTTAATCTCGAAGCACGTATAATTAAGTTGGGGAACACTTTTAACGAGGCACCCGTCTTGCATAACCGAACGTAAAAATAAAAAAAAAAAGTTAAAATACGTTGATCGTCAATTAAAAAAAAACCGGCAAACACGATGCACGAAAATTACCCTTTACCACCCCCATTAAACTGAAGTCTGACTGGGCTGTTTAAAAAATCTGTTATGACGACCGGTATGTAATTAAGACTATCCATACCCCAGAGTAAAATCATGAGAATGAATCGTTGTCCATGGTCTCTTTAGAACGTCATATTTTAATTCGTCAGTTATTTTGAAATCTTCAGAAAAGATGTCAGGATTGGGAAAGGAGGCATATAATTGTCTTCTGCAGGACGCCTCGAGGACCATTTTAATTGTTTGCATCAGCAACATAATCATGATGCTGGTTCCGTAAACGAAAAGTAATTTTGGAACGGAATATAGCTACAAAGTGATTATTAACATGTTTATATAATAGTTTTTGATCTAATTTATTACTTTAGTTTTATTCTTACTAGATTATCATATTTTTATTTTTGTAAAAGTTTCGATGTGTACGCAACTGCGTTTTTGCGTACGGGTTGCTACGCGCCTGGGATTGTTACGAAAAAAAAACCCCAAACAAACATATAAATAACAAAACGATAGACAGAAAACAATACAAACATGTAGCATTGAAAAAAAAATATTAATATTTATTACAATACTATTTTGACAACATGCCTCCTCTATAAAGTTATCATTTGAAATATCTTGATTATGTATTACATTATAATATGAGTCATAAATCACACAGTTCATATATTGACATTATAGTTGTTTCTCTCATTATATATTTCACTTTTACTGTTAACAATGATAATTGATATATCACATTCTTCACAAGAAAATATAAAATCAAATTTGTTTTCATCACTCACTGAATTAAAACAGGGGACGTTATAAGCAATTTCATTAAACATTTTGATCCTAGGTTTATTAAGTTCTGTACATGTTATGATAAAATGGAATTCATCTTCCACCTCTTTATGGCATAAAGGACATATTCTATTTTCTAATGCTGTTTTATTTTATCGACCGCGTTCAATAGCCAGCATACTATTACTAATTCTTATTTTGGCATAATTTTTTGTAACATTTTTATCTAAATTCAATAAAAGGTACTTTTCAAGTTCATAAAGTTTACTTTAAATTTTCTGTAGGTTCTTAGTTTATTTCCATTTATTGAATTATCATCATTAAAGAGACAATTTTTCCAAAATATAATGTAATTTTCATTGAGCTTCTTCGTAAGGGCTAACAGTAATCGTTTTTTTAGAGAAGGTACATTGATTTTCCCAAACATGAGTGAAATTCAATTTAGATAGCAACATTTTAATTTTTTAAGCAAATCCATCATTTAAAAAGTAAAATCACAAAAATACTGAACTCCGAGGAAAATTCAAAAAGGAAAGTCCCTAATCAAATGGCAAAATCAAAAGCTCAAACACATCAAACGAATGGATAACAACTGTCATATTCCTGACTTGGTACAGGCATTTTCTTATGTAGAAAATGGTGGATTAAACCTGGTTTTAACGCTAGCTAAACTGCTTGTTAACTTCTACTTTTACTTTTATCAGAGACATATTATATAATACAATATTAGGATGTCTCTGCTTATATAAAGTATACGGCCGAACCGATCAAGGCCGAATTTGTTTTATGGCCGAAACGAGCTATTTCCGCTACTTTTACATATGCACCGCCAAGAAGTTATTTCCCTTGCCACTCGGTGTCGTCTGTAATTTAGGATTGTGACAAATCTCTAGCAGATGACATTATAATATCAAAACATGGAATTAGTGAATAAATAAGAATTTAGACATCATCATCCGCCCTAATGGTTGAGTCTCAAGCTAACAGCAATACGATGAGAAGGTATGAAGTACAGATAACTCGTAAATTTAACGAGTTTAACTTTTACTTTTAGTTAGAAATTCAGAAAAAGACGAATATTTTTTTATTAAGAAATAGTAAACATGGTTATTGGTCTGTATTCATCAATGTTGATGAATAACTGGATACCAAACGTAGAATAATTATAGTTATTCTTCGCACATACGAAATACAGTGGCATACACATGTACTCATTGATGATGTATACAAAAAAGTACAAAGGTGAACAAGAGCTTCCAAGCTGGGAATAATAGATAGTTATTAGTATTTAAAGTCCTTAATGGGCCTTCATACACAGCAAATTATGGCTTCAGTTTGTGATCAGACAGAGCTACGACACAAAAAATGAAAAAATCAGACTACTATCCTCCTTGATCTGGCGTGTCCTAGCTGTCATCGTCTGAATGCAGTCATTTACATTTGTAACAGAGTCTTACTGATCGGGAATGGTCTGGAGATGTTGACCAAGCATTTTTGACAATTAGATGCATCCCTAAATTTTCTGGAAACTCAGTGGATTTGTCTAGTCGGATTACAAGTGTAACTTTGTTGTTAACAGATTCAGCTGTATCAGATGAAAATCATAACAATGTCCTGTGTTGTCTGTATGATGTCTAAATGACATTGTCTTTGGGCTGATCTGGAGTTATCTTTCATTGAGGTTTCTTCCCTAACCTTATTTTAATGAATCATTTAGTTATTTTTCAGTGCTTAGTTATTATTATACTTGTAGTAAGACCTTGATTTCATTTTCAATTAATTTCAGCATAAAATTGAGTCAAATACTACATGCAGGCATGGGGTAATTGTAATCAGCTGTAATTGATTACATTTTGCAGTGTAATCACATGCCATCAGTAATCATGCATTTTCTGATTACAAGTAATCTTAATGAAATCGATTACAATTCAAAAATCAGGTGTAATCATGGTTATATACTTTTATATTACATTCAAATGATTACTTGCTGATTACAAATTTTTATATATAAATTGCTTTTTATATACAACCATAAATAAAAAAAATCCTCAAATTAATGTTCCCTATGATTGATCATGGTTCAATATGATTGATCCTATTAACTATTTAATAATTTCAGCTTCAGTATACTCAATGTCATACATGTACATGTATGCTTAAAGGTATGTAGGGTGTAAATGTGTTGCTTTTTTTTTAACAGTTTACTACATGAATCTACCTGTCCAAAAGTTTCATATTATTGAGATTGCGTCCTTGTGATATAAGATGTCTGCTTTTAAAATATTTTGTTGTTCCATTGGTGCAGAAAATTCTCTGACTGTTAAGGTTAAGTGCAAATTTTGCTCTTTATATTGACTTTGATGTTCGACTTCAAATGATAGATAATGAAATTTATAACTAACTGTTTTTTTTTACAATTCTTATAACAAAAATTCCATAATACGATAGTAGAGGGGCATTATGTTTTTCGGTCTGTGCATTTGTTCGTTCGTTCGTCTGTCCGTCCGTCTGTCCGTCCGTCTGTCCGTCTGTGCCCCTTCAGGTTAAAGTTTTTGGTCAAGGTAGTTTTTGATGAAGTTGAAGTCCAATCAACTTGAAACTTACTACACATGTTCCCTATGGCAGATATGATCTTTCTAATTTTAATGCCAAATTAGAGTTTAGACCCCAATTTCACAGTCCACTAAACATAGAAAATGATAGTGCGAGTGGGGCATCCGTGTACTATGGACACATTCTTGTTTATCATGTGTTTTCTTAATATGTTTGTATAGAAATATAAATTTTACAATCATGTATATAATAAAAAATAAACTGCATACAAAAGGCTACTCGATCATTAAATAATCACTATTCTTAATTTCATTTTTCTTAATTGAAAATATGCTTTTTGGCTAAAATATTAAAAAAAACAATGGTGTTCCTTAACAGAGAAAGCAGAGACATTTACTTTCAAAGTAAATCTGTGAAATAAAATTATGTCATCAAACAATACAAAAATTACACTGCTCCTTTTCTAAGTTCTTATGAATAACATGTTTATATTTAAACACAATTTTTCACTCAGATTAGCTTTTTTATGTGAGGATCAAATGTTTAAAAAAAAAATCAATACCACAGTATACAATGTAATCATAAGTAATCTAAAGTAATCATGGTTACTTTAAAGAAATGTAAACTAATGTAATCAATTACATTTGAATTTAGGTGTAATCATGGTAATTGTAATGTAATCGATTACATCAAATTAGCAAAGTAATTGGAATTTAGTGGATAACATTTTAAAGTAATCAACCCCATCCCTGACTACATGTATATGATAGTCAGCAAAGCTGATGAGATATTTGAGCGTATCCACTCTTGTTACACATGCATGCCTGTGTTTTTACAGAAACATTAATAAGTTAATTATTATTCCAGTAATGTGGATGGATATGGATTTGAGAGGGGAGAAGATTTTGATTACAAAACCTATGAAGAGTTCATGGCAAAATATATTTCTATCCTGGCGAGACGAGCTTCTAAGTGGGAAGTTTTAGTACAAAATAAAACGTCCATAGTAAAGTCTAGAAAAGGTAAGAGAGGCTTCCATTAATAGGAAATTTAGTCCAAAATAAAACATACATGTACATAGTCAAGTCCAGATAGAGAAATAGTGACTGCCAAATGGGAATTTTAGTCCAAAATAAAACGTACATAGCTAAGTCCAGAAAAGGTAAGAGAGACTGTCAAATGGAAAATTTGAGTTTAAAATAAAAAACATACTTAATAATAATGTTTTGAAAAGGTAACAGTGACTGTCAAATGGAAAATTTCAGTCCAGAATAAAACATACATAGTAATGCTAAATGCTAGAAAAGGTACATTGTAAGAGAGACAGCCAAATTTGAAGTTTTAAAATTATTGCAAATGACAATTTTTGACTTATTTTATTATTTTTGCCTACAATAAAAAACAATAATAGATTGATAGAAACTGTAACCAGCAAAAACTATCAGCATTACAAGATCTACAAATGCCAGTATGACTGGTGTAATTGCTCTCAAATGACAATTTTTCACAGTTATATCATGTATATAGTGGAAAACTAAAATTGAGATACAAATTTCAATTTCAAACATGAGATAAAATGTAAAATGATTTTTTATTGCAGTTTCTCTAGTTCTTTTTCCCCATAACAACCTTTTCGAGTCAAAATTTGTTTTTCTTTTGAAATTTGCTTTTAATATTTGGCTTGTCTTCAAGACGTATTACCATATGATGGTATGTCACATATTTTCATTACCTTTATGTGACCTTTACCTTTGACCACCTTAAGAAGATATTTCTCTTACCTGCTTACCAAGGAAGATAACCTTTGACCTTAAGGTCAAATAATTGATTATAGTAAACTTTTTCATGTCCACCCCAAAACCTTGTATTTTTTAACCATGGTAAGACCTTTTCAGTGAAAGGGAGGGTCAGACCTGGGATGTAAAACATGCCCAACACCATCTTTATGTGAAATACTCTATGACCCACAGCCCCAGTCTGTCCCACCAATGGACAAATTATATAGTGATCTATAAAAGTTGTATTGGCAATTCAGAAACTGCTATGATCTAGAAACCATCAGAGACAAGGTGGAGCCTTAAATCGAATGACCCACCCTCTTAAATGACTAAACTACTTATTAACTTCTGTCTTATATGTACATAATTAAGCATACACTTTCTTATATAAATACAACTCAATACACAATTATTGACCTCAATAATCATGATAATGGGTACACAAAAGTATCATGTTAAATATTTCATATGTATAGAAATGATAGATTTAATAATTTACCTATTACTTTTGATCTACATGTAAACTACATGTAGTCTTGAAAAGTTGGCCAAGTTTGTAAATTATTGACCTGAAGAACTTAGAAGTCAATATTTGCAGCATTTAAATTTTTCTTTGCTTGACAATATTTAAGCTGATAAAGTCATAATTTGTTGTAAAGTAAAGACAGACATCAGACATAGCAAGGACTAAATAAGTAAGTAAGTAAAGGCAGACAAACCATGAAACATACAAATTTATATCCCAATGAGCCAAAAGCAAAATTAGACTTATTTATGCCTGAGCTTTGTATATTTTATATCTATAAATGTAATATTGTTCTACAGGAAAATGAAAATGGTCCTCTCCAAATTCAAGTTTCTCAATAAAGTTACATACAGGAAATGTGTCCCCTCCAAATATTAGCAATACAATACAATTGTACAGGCATGACAGGAAATACATTTAGATGTAATAATTTCCTATTGTAAATATATATATACAATGATATATACATGACCAAGATATGATTTCATGGTTCTTTATATGAAAACATTGATATATCTTTACTGCTACAAGAATGGACTTGATAATTTACTTAAAACCTAGTCTAAATTCTTTCATAGACACAAAGATTTGGTTTGGAAGTTTGGCTGTACCTGTAGATTAAAATCAGGGTAGCACATCCTTATGTTGTTTATCAAGCTAATAAATTTAGATTTCTTTATCATTTTATCTGTTCAGTTAAATATCCAGTGGAATATTCATCAGTTACAGTAAACTTCATTCAAAGGATTTTGTATGTTACAGTACACATTATTATGGCCAGAAATCACCTTTAAATTGTAGCCAACAAAAGACACAAATTAATAATAAAATTTAACAAGATTTATTAATTACAATTTTACAAGAAATATTATACAAATTGAAAGCCAACTTAACTGTTAAAATATATGTCTGATCCTTTGTCTTTTCTTTATCAGGAATTCTTCTCTTAACTGTACGGAATTCAATGGAATATATATATGTCCAATAAGTTTACAATCTAGTATGATGTTGTTCGTAAATAAAAGTATCAATCCAACAACTCCAGAGAACTTCTGAGAATACAAGTATATTAATGTCTGATAAGTCTAATTTCGGTGTCTGTATATATAGTTGATACGGAAACCTCTAGAACAATGTAGAAGGGAAACTCCTAGAAAACTGTAGAAGAGAAACTTCAAGAATACTGTAAAAATTTAAATTACGCATTGTTGATTATGATCATTCTGGAATTATTATGTAAGTCAAATAGAAATTTCTAATCATTCCATCAGTATGTATGATTGTTCTAGTGATTTCTAAACTGCACATTTATAACATTATTTTGTAAACAACTATAACCCAAGTTAATTATAAAAACATTATAAGGCCACACAAAATATAATAGGCCAAGATAGATAAATATTATAATTACAATATCATAACAACATATATACATGATATATTTTATGGTAAATATCTAACTGTATTTGGACTTCTATTGTGACTTCCTTTAGATTATCGTACATGGTAGTCATACAGTCTTGATGCTTTGGCTTATGATTTGCCAAAATACCCTTCTGCAGCACCTGAGATCACCCTCAGTTTTTGGGAGGTTCTTTGTTGCTGAGTCTTTAGTTTTCTTTGTAGTTTTTTGTAGACTGTTGTTTGTTTTTTTGTCATATATGTCATTTTTTGTCATGTCGAATGGCAGATTTTTCTTTGTCTTATGATTTATGATTTGTTCCTTTGGTATCTTCTGCATCTTTTTGATACATTTCTTATTCATAAGTTAGAAATATCGGACCCTTTTATTGTCTTAGAATAAATTTCTGGCTGTTATTTGGTCCATAGTATGAAGATAATATTTGACAACCTGTTAGAACAAAGTTTGTCCGTCCTGTATCATTTGATGTTTTGGTTTAGGTAAGGTCATGGTCATACATGTATCAACTTGAAAGTTTTTGCACGTATTCATAATGAAGTGAAAAGTTTAATGTATATGCCAAATTAGGGTTTTGACCCAGATTTCATGGTTCACTGAACATAGAAATGTCGTAGGTAAAGGTTTTGATTTAAGATAGGGTTAAAGCTTGTTTTAATGTACTTGTAACTTTACATATCTTCATTATTAAGTGTTCTGTTTAATATATGTGACAAATTAGTGTTTTGACCAAGTTTTCAATGTTCACTGAACATAGAAATGTGAAAATGTGGAGGACTGATAAGGTGCCCTATGGACTCATATTTTTGTTCTTATTTAATTATGAAAGAAAAGTTACCTCTAGCCAATAGTTCTGAATCAGAGTGTTACTACAAAAGGATGGTTTGTAAAATGAAGTATCTCCCTTCACACCTGATTTCTCTCCATTTCTGAGGCAAAAGTTCACTTCTTACCAATAGAACATGTGTTACTTTTTTCTTGCTTCAATCTACATTATCAGTAATTCTTATATTTTGCTTAAATTATATATATATATATATATGCAATTTTTTGCATCGTATAATGCTATGGTGTCGCAGGGTTATGGCACAAACAATTTAGGAATTAGGGGCCAAAAAGGGACCAAAAACAAGCATTTTTGTAGTTTCCGGACAATAACCTGTGTGTTAATGTATAGATCTCTCAGAAATTGTACCACAAGGTTCCATATCACAAAGGGATGGCTGGGATTGAGTTTGGGGGTAATTGCCCAAACGGTTCAGGAATTAGGGGCAAAAAAGGGGCCAAAAACAAGCATTTTTCTAGTTTCCAGACAGTAACTTGTGTTTAAGTGTATGGATCTCTCTTAAATTGTACTACAAGGAAGGGAAGGTTGGGATTAATTTGGGGGTAATTACCCCAAGGGGGAGGGGGGTCAAAAAGTTTGGGGGGATTTTTTTTCCCAATTTTTATTGGGGGTTCATATTTTTTTTCTTCAAAATTTTTGAAATTTCAAGTGATTGCACAGTATTGCGCAATAGCACAGTAATGTGCAATAGTAAGAAATCTTCAATTGCACAGTAATGCGCAATAGCACAGTATTGCACAATAGCAAAGTATTGAGCAATAGCACAGTATTGCGCAATAGCAAGAAATTTCAATTGCACTGTATTGGACAATAGCAAGAAATCTTCAATTGCACAATATTGCGCAATAGGAAGAAATATTCAATTGCACAGTATTGCGCAACAACAAAGTATTGCGCTATAGCAAGAAATCTTCAATTGCACAATATTGCGCAATAGCAAGAAATCTTCAATTGCACAGTATTGGTGCAATAGCACAGTATTGCACAATAGCAAGAAATCTTAAATTGCACAGTATTGTGCAATAGCAAGAAATCTTCAATTGAAAATAAATACAAATCTTTTAACCAATTTCAATGGGATTAATTTAAAGTCTTTAATTTTTGGGGGTTCTAACCTTGTATTACTTTTTTGGATATTGGGCACCATTTTTAAATTGGTCTACATTGAGTTCAAAAGGGTCCAAAATTAAAATTTGTTTGATTTCAACTAAAATTAAATTTTTGGTTTTTTTTTATATGCTGAATCTAACCATGTTGTTAGATTTTGGATATCAGACCATTCTAGGTAAATAAAATATCCCATTTCAAAATTTTAAGATCTTTGACCACATTTATTTTGTGTCAGAAACCTATATTATGTCAAAATTTGATCACAATCCAAATTCAGACACTATCAAGCTTGAATATTGTGTCCAAACTTGCCCCAACTGTTCAGGGTTAGACCTCTGCGG